CAATTCCAAGACAAAAAAAACCTACCAATGCCATGGCAAGAAATGTGATCAGCAGCGACATGAAATAGAGAGATGAACTGTATCGGGTCTAGTGGGTGGTTTTATCACCCTGGATCTAAGGGCAATATTGCTGTTTGCCCTCCTGCTTTGGAGGAGTTAAGGCAAGAGTATATTCCAGGTGCAACTGTTCATGGACAGAAAAGACCCAGGAGGTATGAGATGTCTTTGGATTTTCCCTGCAAGGGGAACGTGGCTCCACGGGTGCAGGTTCCCGGGGCTCGAAAGCATCCTGAGCGAGCAAACCATAGGGCAGTGCTGCAGCATCTATATGCATCTGCAGCTCTCAGCTAGCTTTCAAAATCATGCTGCTGAGGAATTATGCCAGGAGACCTCTTTGGAGGTGAGGGAATGTGCTACAGCCAACATCTGAAGCAGCTCTGTGCTTTGGACATGCGGAATGAGTTATGAGCCCAGAAGATATAAGGGTAGATCATAATGGACAAAAGGGAGATCTAGCAAAGGCTGAGACAGCCCTTAAGCATCCAAAACATGTCTAACGTGGCCAGTATCAAAATGAGCCTTTGAAAATACACAGGCTCCAGCCCTTTCAGTTTCTCCACCACCATTTTGGTGTCCCACCATGGCTGGGGAAAGGCAGTGCCTTGCAGAGCTCAAATAACCAGGTCAGCAAATAGCCAGGAGGAATTACCTGCTCGCTCGCTGTCCTTAGAGAGAGTGAATGTTCCTCCAGACCAGCTGCGGTGCGGTGCGCAGGCACAATGAGCCCTCCTAGTGGTGCTCCTGGCATGTGACCAGCGAGGTGTCCTGCAGTGACCATTTGTCGGTGGCTGTGACAGCAGCAACGCTGGTGGAGGAAGCACCCCCGCCCCTCCTCAACGCATTTCCCCGGGGTTGAGCTTCCTCTGTCACCACTGGCATGGCTCGTACCACCCCCTGTTGACTGAGGAGCCTTCAGTAGCCCTGCAGCAAGGTGAAACGCTCATCTGCCATGCAGCCCTGCAGCAGTTCCTCCAGCGATGGAATGGCTTTGGGTTTTTCCTTTGATTTAATTTCCCATGCCTGATGTCTCACTGGGCAATGCCCATTGACCTTCCTCACCCAATAGGCTGTGCACATTGCTTGGAGGGGACCCATTGCCCTGGAGGGTCCTGAGGTCTTCTTTCTGCCTTCTAGACTGCCACTCCCGCTGGGGCTGGAGCAGGGACTGCCACCTGCTGTCACGCTGCTGAGCCCCAGGGCATAGTAGCCCTGGTGGGCCCCTAGTTCCATTCACAGAGCTGTTGGAGAGGTGAGGGCTGTGGTTTGCAGACATTTTTGTGATTATTATAGCTGGGTTTCACTCTGAATCATGGTAATTCTGTCATCTTCCATAGTTCTCATCAGCCAGCAATTCTGAGAAAGCGTGGCACCGTGACCCTGTGACCTGCTGACTTTGTGACTGCTCTGCAGTTGCAGACGCCTGCTGGCCGGGGGCTCCTCCTTAGCTGTCCATTGCAACCCATTTACAAGAAGAGCTCAGACAAGTTGATCAACAAGCTCAAAGGTCCCGCTGTTAGTACCTTGAGTTGCTGTCTTGGGCAAACACATTTCCCCTTCCCACTTTCCAGGTCATCTTAGAGCAGCTTCAGGGGTATTTCTGCATTGTCTGTCTGCACATTGCAAACCAGCCTTTGAGATTAATTCCTTGCTAGTGTATAGTCAGTATAGAGCTTAGCTTAAATACTTCTCCGGAGTTTCCAGGGACTGCTTTTGCCTTTCTTGTGGCTGCTTCTTGGTGGATGCTTATAAGTAGTTACTGACATATTCGTACACCCAGCTCGTTGATCGCCAACCACCATCATTTTCATGTCATGGTCCTTGTTAGTGCTTTAGTTTTCAAAGTCATCCAGCTCCTGGGTTGTGACAGTTTCACCACTGTACAAAAAATACTTCACTTTGCATCATCCTCAAGTGTTGTCCACACACTCCTATTGTCTATGTCAAAGCAATCACTACTGGTATTAACCATGAGCAGTCAAAATCAAGCCTGGAGGGAGCTCAGCTCATAGCATCTCTCCAGTGTGATGCTTCCCATCCACAGCTTGGTGCTGTGGTCGCCAGATGAGGGCAGCTATGTCTCCCATTAGCCCGGTGAGGCTTCAAGGGAGGTTCAAACCATGTCACCAGGCACAAAGCAGCTGGCTATGATCACCAGGTTCACCAGGAGCAACTCAACACCGGCTACCAGTTGGCAAAGCTATGATGAAGTGTTATCTGCGGAGAACTTACATGTCTCCTGGTGTGGCTCTCAGGTCCCTGTCTGATTCCTGGACACCGCTGGGTCAGGATCCTCATGCTTCTCTTCTCTCCACCTTGGCTCCCTCAGCCACCCTCTAGGCTCTTGCAGCTGCTGATGGCCTCCTTCTTCCATCCAGTTGCAGGTTTTATCACCTCTGCCATGGACCAATGATGCTCACTTGGTATTTTCCCCTGCCTCTGCAGTTCTCAGCTTGTCTCAGCCCCGTGAGTGCTGTCACCATGTGGCACAGTGCAGGTGACACTCATACTGTTTTCTCACTTCCTTGCTGGCAGCTCTCCAGCAGGGTAGTCCAAGGGCCTACGGCACCGCTGAATACCAGTGCCTGTACAAAGTGCATTACCACTCGCAATGTGCTCCAAAGGACCTTTTACTAATACCAATGTCTACCACACCTTGGCTGGAAAAGTGATTTTCTTAGTGAAAGAAGCCAGTGAGGCAAAATACTCCTGTAAGGTGAAGCACCGCTTAACTTTTGCCTTTATATTTGTTCCCTCCCATTTAATGTTATTCAGATGTATTGTGAAATTTCACATTTTTCAGGTCTGAGCATAGTAGAGCTGTTACTGGCCAGACCCTTCCGTTTCTTCCCACATCCTAAAGAAGGGACTGTGTTTGGTGGTCTCTGCCCCCGATCCTATTTTGGCTGACTTATTGCTGGTGTGAGAGTTCATGTGCTAATTCCTTTAAAATTCTGGACTTCTCGGGTTCCTCATTCTTACTGAAAGCTGTGACAAAGTAATTGGGTAGTTTTTAGGACATACCTGGACAATTTTGTTGTTTTTATCAACAGCAGTACTGGGTGATCTCACTTCTTTGCTTGTAATTTGTGTATATAGTTAGCTTTTCATATCTAAGGGAAGAATTTGCTAGACCTGTTTGATCTTTACGCTTCTTGATCTCTAAGACTTATTTCTGTTCTGCACAATTGTTTTTCCTTCCCTTGTAAGCTCTGACTGATGTCCTGCTTGAGGCTGTTTCCCAGCCAAAGAAAGTCTTTTCATGAGGTTTTCCTGTGCTCCTGGTACAGATTGTTAATAGACAGGACAGCTCAGGTTTGATGGACTCCTGTCTCCTTTCCCTGCCAGGGAAGATCTCAGTCTCCTCTGCCTCCCAGATACTGTGCCCTGCTGGCTACAGCTGCTGGCACATCACAGTGGGACAGGGCCTCTGGCAAAGTGAGAGAGGTACCAGTACCCCCCTCCACACATGCAAGGGCAACACGGGACACTGCACTGCCCTGCGGCATTTGGGTTCTGCAGTGCCTCTGCCCCATATGGTTTTTTCCCTCGATTTCTCATGGGACAACGTGATGTTGCAACAGTAGATCTTGACCAAAACAAAATACGGGGTTGGGAGCAAAACGTGTCAGTCTTACTTTTAGCATGGAAAGCCTGTGAAATTGTGGTGTTAGGCTAACTGTGTCAACCTCACGCAATGACCAACCGTGGCTGTTGAGACTGTTTCCCCTTTCCCCTTCCTTAGCACCGCACAGGAACTGAACCACGGCAGATGACGCACTTGCAGGGCTCTCTGTACTACAGCCCTCTCTGTACACCTGCAGCATCAACACTAAAGGGGTCGGCTGTGTATCTCCGTGCAAACGTACTGGGGAGGGCATGGCAAAGCCTGTGCTTCCCAGCTGCCTACTGCTGCTCCGGTGCTTGCAGAGTCCCCTGGAGACTGCCGGGCAACGCTCACGATTGGAACAACTGCGCTGCACTGAGAAACTAAAAACTCAGAGATACCTCCAAAACCTGAAAGCAGCACCCAACTCGCTAAAATGCGGAACTCCCTGATATATGTCCTTCAGCCCCTGGGAGAGGAGTGCTGCTGGAACCCAAACCTCTGGTGAGAACTCAGATTTCAGGCCTGCCCAAATGCCACCAAACAGCAAAATACTGTCTTATGCCAGCCCCTGCCTTCCCTGCTTAGAAGGGCCAAAAATTCTAAATCTGATGGCTACTCACTTAGAAGCAAGATTCTAGATTACTTTGTAGGCTTTTCCTTGCGGTTTTTTTTTTTTCTCTCAAGCCTAAATTTTGACTGCAGCATCAATTTGCTCATTTAAAGTGTAAGCCATTGTAAGCAGTGGTCCAGCTCTGCTTGTTGGAGCTGCTGATGGACTGTGGCTGCTGCTCCCCACTACCGTTAGCCAGACTCTTGTGCTAGGAAATGGGAAAGATTTGTGGATAACCATGTCGCTGTCCTCATGGATTGCTATTCCAGTGCTGTATGCTGGCTGGTAGTTTATTGTGGCCCAGGTGCTGATAACTCATCTGTTCCATTTACTGGGAGCACTCAGGGAGCTGAGGTTTTGTTCAGACTGAAGAAAGGTGTCAGAAACCCATCATAAACATCATTATAACTTGACGTGTAAACCAGATAATAATTTTTGTCCAAGGTAGTACATACGTCTTCAGGTAATCAGAAAATTCCTTGCTCATCTTTGGGTTGCACTATAAATATCCTGTTGTAAGGCAGATCTGATATCATGGTAGCTAAGTCTCCTCTCACAATCTCCAGTATAGGTTTAGCGTTAATAATGCGGGACTCTGATGTATAATGGTAATAAATGAATATTTATTTATAGATATATTACTGTGAGATAGCTTTATTTTCACTTGCAAAAGAATGTTTCCTTTTTTGTTTTCATAGTGTTCAGTACAAACAACAAAAAATATTACTTAATGATGACAGGGATTGTGAAGTCAACAAATTTCCACTTTACAATAAGAAAAAGGAACACTTAATTTTATAAATTTGGAACGTGAATGGTGGGAGACCTCAGTTTGTTTCCGACAAGAAAAAAACATTCACTTCATACAGCTCTACATGCAGTAAACTTGGCTATGTATAGGAATGCCAACTGTAAATTCTTTAGTGCAGCTGTTGTACTGGTTTTGGCACTGACAGGGAATAAGCAAGCGGCTGTGTGGTGCTTAGCTTCTGGCTGGGGTGAAACCGCAGCAGCTGTTTAGTTTAATAGCGTGCCTTGTCTGTGATCCTTCCTTGATTTAAAAACTATAGGCTTGGGTAAGAAGAAAGTGCTCTGAAATTCTTTGGTTGCAAAACAGTAGCAAATGGCATCTCAACAGCAGTTAGTATTTGCTATACTATGAGGCCTATACATGAGGCCACATGCACAAAAGCATTACTGTTTGTATTTCAGAGTAGATGACCTAATTGGAGACCATTATAAATTGGACAAGGTGCCCCATGTTAACAGGGAGAAAACATGAATGTGACTGGGTTTGGAAAAAAAATAAGTTGTTTGCTTTCTGGATTAACAGTAGGATAACAGGTTGATATGAATCAACCTTCATCTTTTTTCAAAGTAATAGAATTTTTCATAATAATCTGTTTGGAACAGGCATTCATTATGACCAATGAGATGCAAAATCCCAGAAGGGGATGCTAGAGCCAAAAGTGTTTTTGAAGGCCCTCTGTGCTGTTTCTGAAAACAGAAGTCCTTCTCCTTGCTGAAGACCACTTGCCTGGACACGTAAGTGATGCCTGTCATGAAGATCAACGGCACACCATAAAGGAGAATGGGCTAATGAGGACCCTAATCCTCTTGCTCTCCGAGGACAGTTAATTGCAGTGTATTTGTTGACAGCTACAAGGGTGACAACACTCACACATCTCCTTAAGCAATAGATGGTTTTTCAGATCAGGCAGTATTTGTCTCTTATATCTTTTCCTGTCTTTGAAAAGAGACTGTAAAAGGCAGAATGAGGGCCAGTGTGCAATGATTAAGTTGGTCATGTGCACACATGGCCCTTTTCCTCTGCTTGCAGAGAAATACCAGTAATGCCAGAGCATTAAATAATACATCAAAAAAGAAAATTGGGACATAAATGATCAACTGAATGACCTGAGTAGTTTCATACATTTTTATGCTGCAGTTGCTCACTGCAGCTTCCATCATGCTGGGACTTCTGCCAAAGTATTGACACAAAGCAGGTAGATCTAACATTTGGATGGGAAGTACTTTCTGTGATGGGAATAGTCGTTTCCTATGTTGTTTGGCCAATGTCTAGAGAGTAGTTTCAGCATGTGGTCTGCAGAGACTAGAAGGTGACAGGCCACTTGCAGGGGAACTATTTGTAAGTTGTCACTAAGAAAGTTAATTGTCTGTAGGTTTAAATGAGCAGAATATGGGTTTCCCTGGAGGAATTTTTTAGGGGTTTACAAGTCAGAAGGCACTGAAAGGTCAAGGATCATGAAGCCAACCGAGATACAGCTATATCACATGCATTTCAAAAACTCTATAATGTTTCCCACGCTGACTTGAAGTTATTGAAGTGACTATGTGGTAAAATGTTAGATGAAATTTCTATGCTGATAAACATGAAGTAGTCACGCCCTGGCACGGGCTCCCCTCTCAGCCCAGGTTTCTCTATGGGTCGCTTCCTTCTGGTGCCCCAAGACCTCTCTTTGTGGCTTAACTTTTTTGAGCTGCTCTGTTGTCACTTCCCTGTGGAGTGGGAGGATACATGGTGCATAGTCAGCAAGCACAGATATTATAGAGGAATTTGGTACCTGGAAAGCCAGACATTAAAACTGAATGCCTCGTCTGGGATCCAGCTAGGATAGATCAAGACTGTCTGTGTAATGGGTGGAAAGAGTTAAATGTCTCAAAATGAGGCGCAGGAGAGCTTTTGAACCCCTGCTGTGCACTGTCCAAGCAGCTGAAAGAGAAAAAAAACCCAAATCCAAAGCAATGCTTCGTCACACAGGGCAATGCTGAGAAGCCTTCAGCCGTGGGTGTGCCCTATCTCTGCAAAAGGGCCTTACACACCCCACTCTCATCAAACCTCCCCTGAAAACTGTTCATGGATGATGAGGGAAGGATCAGGGCTGCATCTCCTTTGTGTGGCTCACTGCTGTTTTCTGGGCATCAACACTCCTGCAGCGTGAGGCTGCCACGACTCAGGCAGATGCAATAACCTCTCACCAGACAGGACACCCATTGAAGATTTGATCCCATTAAAGTACAACAACAAACCTGTCACCAGGGCTTACGGTAGTGTTTAGGTGAGATCAGATCTTCACAGCTTTATACCTGATATGCACAATGCTAAGGGTCTGTTCTGTGATCCACAATGCTTTCTGTAGCTCAGTTTTTCCATGCAGTAGTGGCTTTATTTACACCCACAACGATTTTAGGCTCACAAATGCCAGGGCATTGCCACAAGCTAATACAAGTGTTACATGGCAGGAATGGGGCAATAGTCTCAGGCCACTGTCTGACTCCTGCACTTTACTCCATGCACAGCAATAGCTGCATCCTGATGATAGCTGCAAGCTTTGAAATTATATAGGTTGGCAGGAAACTACCTAATACATATGTCTTAGGTTTGGCATTGTAGTACAGGGGCTTTTTCTTAAGTGACCATATATATTACAGTACTAGAAGTGGATTTGTGTATTGTTATAAGGGTGCTCAGTTTCCTATGTTTAGCTGCATGATATGTACAGATAAGCGCATGGCAGAAACAATGGCCTTATCATCTATTCTCCATACCATGTGGCTCTCCCTCTTGACCAGGAGACACCTGAAGCTGCAATACAACGATCCAAGACAACAATCAGAGCTGGAGCCAAGTCACTGAGGACAGAAGGACAAAATTCAAGTTAATATCAGACTCCTTGGAAGGGGTTGCCCCTTTTTGCAGGTATGCCTATACCTACGATGATTGCAAATACTGTAGGTGGTCCCATCCCCTCTGCCTCAAAACTTCAGCAGCACTGTGGCTTTTAACACCTATAGTGCACTACACCTTGTTTATGTCATGACTTGATCTATGGGTGGCTGTGACTCTTGGCTTTGATTCATCTTGGACCTCATTGATATACAGCTGGGGAACACAGAAGGAAATTCCTGAAATTCCTTGGCTGCAAAGTAATAGCAAAATGCATCTAAACAGCAGTTAGAATTTACTAAGCATGCACAGATCTGAATAGAGGCTCTAACTTCTGAGAGCAGAGAACAAGCTCCAGCAACATCCACTGCAAACCACAAACGCAGTGTGATGTAGAAAGGTGAAAAACATACAATGAACACACACAAATTCACAGAAACAATGTGGATTGCTTTCTGGATTAACTTTGTCTCATGAGGGCTCCTGGCCATCTTCTTTTTGAGACATTTGATGACTTGTACTGAGCAAAAAACCACAATCCCTAAGGGAATAAAAGACCCAAAGATAATGGAGAATAACGATGAATAATTAGGTTGAATAGATTGTTTCCGAAGGCAGAATTGTTCCTTTCTTTCATGAAATTTTGGATGTAAGTAGGAATAAATTATCAGCATTATCCAAAGAAACCCACAGATAGAAGCCGATTTCAGTGGGGATCGAAGAATCTTTGCTTTTAGAGGGAACTTGATCACAATGTATCGATCAGTTGCAATCAGGGTGATGATAAGGATGCTCATAGGCATGTTTGTAAAATAGATGTTCTGTATGGTGAAACACAGCTTGTCTATGGGATGGTTGTACATAGTAAAATATATCAGGAAAGGCAGGGCAAAGAGCAGGAAACTGTCTGCAACCATGAGGTTGGTCACGTACACCCTGGTCTCGGTCCACCTCTTGAGTTTGCAGCAGAAGACCCAGAAGGCAATCATATTCAGTGGGATCCCCAAAGACAGCACTGCGATGTAGAGAAGTTGAAATAGCACAATGCCATCCTGCAGCATGTTGTAGTCTTGGTGCAGGTCTCCATGTTGGGCCGTCTCTGCAAGAAAAGGGTGCAGGCATGAGACCGAGCTCAGGGACAGGTCCTCTGGGCTGGGTCCTGCTGCAGTGCCCCTGCTCTCACGGCTCTGTGGCTCCTCACACCCCTCCACTGCATATGTAGGCAGCCCCTGGAGGGGCTCAGTGGCTCATCAGCACCATCTATCCCTCAGACATCAAAGTAACACTGTCACTTGCCACCAGCTAACACAAAAACACAGAGGCAACCCTCTCTTGCAGATATTACGGGGTTAAGCCTGCCTTGCCCTCCATCCAGTCCTGGTTTGCACAGTTTGGGTAACAGCAGAGGGTCTGCAAAGCAGAATGATAATTTTTGTGGTCCCTTATCTTTGCTGCTGCTGTGGTTATCAGAGAGCCACTGGCTTTAGGGCAGCCCGAAGCAGAGCCGGGCAGCATTCCCCCTTTGCCCTCCAAAGGGGATTGAATCCCCCATGTAAGCACAGAGCTGGTGGCGGTTCCCAAGGTCCTGTGCTGCAGCGTGCCTGGAGCCGGGTGTCTCCATACTCACGGAAGAGGCATGGTAAGGAGCACTAGCATGAAACCGCAGTGAGGGATGAAGACACCCCCTGAATGACACCCTTGCTTTGCTGCTGAAGCCACCCCATGGGTTTGCTCTGGCTCTTGCCAGGCCTGTGAACCTCCACAGGACTTGAGCCCTGCCAGCCGTAAAAGGTAGCTCAGGTGGCTTTACTCCTGGGGGCAGTGGGAATGCTGCTGCAGGGTGGTGGGTGGGTGGATGCCTGCTGCGGGGAGGCTGCCCCCAAGCACGAACCCACTCCTCTCGCTGTGGGTTGCTGGGGAGGAATAGCTCAGCATGGGTACCACCAGACCTAGCAGGTAACACGTCTCCAAAGAGAGAAGGGAAAGTGAGCACACATGCCTGATCTCAACCTTCAAAGATAGAAAGCCAAAATGTTGCTAGAGCGGAAAACACAAATCCAAGAACTTAGACTATCATCTCCTTTAAAAATTTCAGGGCATCCGCTACCAGCAAGGAGGCTGTGGAGATGAATCAGACTTAGTCTGAAGCTCATAAAGGAAGTGTTTACAGTGAGGCAGGAAAGGAAAATGCCCAGATTCCTACAATCTCTTATAAATACATTGCCTTATAAGTCAGCAGCTTCTAAGCATCAACATCTAAAATGTAGTGAAAATGTCCAATTGCATGAACTAAGTGAACTGTTTTTACTGTCTGAAACCGGGAGATGGATCTGGCAACCATGGAGGAAAGCGCAGCACCTGCTCTAGCGCTGGAAGTGGTATGGCATTACTGAACCACAGGGATACAGTCATTTTTAGGGTGGAATTTATGGAGGAACTAACGTAGAGCCAGTGTCCTGGCTCTCTTGGGCTTTCAGCCTCACAGGTCCTTGGCTGCACTGTGATACCACCTACCCTGCAGCTGTTCCCTGCCAGCCTACCGCAGTCATCCCACAGTGAAAAAGCCACTCTGCATGCATAGCACTGCCCCAAGGAGCAGCCGAGCCCTCTGGTCTGCGCGAGGCATCCCAGCCACATTGAATCCCCCATGTAAGCACAGAGCTGGTGGCGGTTCCCAAGGTCCTGCGCTGCAGCGTGCCTGGAGCCAGGTGTCTCCATACTCACGGAAGAGGCATGGTAAGGAGCACTAGCATGAAACCGCAGTGAGGGATGAAGACACCCCCTGAATGACACATGTGGCTGCAAAACAGTGAGGTATAACAGCTGTGAAAGCAGGAGGAAACTGAGGCATCTGTGTACAGCTGAGGATTGACCTGTATGTTAACAAGCACGCAGCTTTGGCTAGTGGTTCAGTTAAGAGGAGAAAGCACACCCTGAAGTACTGAGCAGAGCGCGCTGCCACACACTGGCGTGGGAAGAATTGAAAGATATTACCTGCTTCTTGTGGGGCCGTCAGGTGTGTTTAGTCCTCAGAAAGGTTGCAGTTTAGATGCGGGTGTCCTGGCAGGGGAGGAGATCTGTCAGGGCCACAGGTGCCAGTACAGGGTGCTGCTCCATGCAGGGCACAGCTGCTCAAGAGCCTGCTGTTGACAGCTCAGGAGCGCTGAAACACCGCAATGAACTCTTGTTCCCCAAAAGTGCTTCATTTATCACCTACTTTTTGGGATGGTTGAGTCTCTGGTGCCCTCTGTTGTTCTACTCACATCAGCTCAATGCTTCACCATAAATTTTTCCACCCAGTCTGTGCTCCACCCACTCATCTCACACAAACTAGCAATTAAAATTTAATATTTTCAGTTGTGGGAAAACAAATAATTTCTGAAATAAAACCCATAATGGTTGCAAATTGCCCTACTGGCAGCAAAAGGTCCCCCAGGGAGCACAGCAGCCCGTGCAGCCTCCAGTGTGGTTGCAGAACATGCCCCAGGCAGACAGCAGGGCAGTGGCTGACAGCCTTTCCGAGGGGGCACGCTGGTGCTCGTGCACCTGCATGAGAGTGAGCCCAGGGCAAGAGGACCCAGCATGCTTCTCTTCGGTGTCTTTACAAGAAAGGTGACAGACATTATGGGCCTGCTTGTCGTCTGCAAAGCAGCCAGGTGTCTGACACTGCTCATCAGCATCACTGGAAAGCCCAAGCTGGTAATGACAGTCACTGCCAACCGGGCACGGGCAAGAGATACCGGTGTGGCAGTGAGCACACCATAGGTGTCAGGACCTTTAGAAACATCTTTAAGAACATACCTAAGTGGTATTTTATAGTCATTTTCATGGCTTTTGCTGTCTGTTGGCTGTGGGCCAGCTGACGGGAGCCAGACTCTGACTCCCTCAGGATTTGTCCCATTAATTCGTGTCTCCTGAGCTTGCGGTCTCAAAGATGACAACAGCAGATTGAGTAGCAGCCATGAGCTTCCTGAAGGCAGATGTAGATCACAGAGGAAACTGCGTAAGTGGGCAGGACGACTCCTCCACACTGTCTCCTGCAGCGCTCTGAGCATTGCCTGGGCAGAGCTCGGAGGCCATTTTGGAGATTTTTCAGTATTTAGAAAGAAAAAAGCCCGATCCTAGGGAGCATTTGAATAACATGTAGAGGGTCAACCCACTCCCCATCTCCCTTGACCCATCTCCTGGGTCCCTCCGGACCCGGCTGTGTCCAGCTGGGGGTTTCAGCTGGGGGGGTGATACTCTGACACTGAGCTGCGGCTGGGAGGGTGAACCTGGGGGCCAGCCTGGTGCCACAACATAAACCCAGGGAAGAGCAATGCACGGGTGGCAAAGGTCTAGACAGAGTTAAAAGGGCTTCCCCACAGGTGGGAGCAGCAGCCCCTCGGGGATGGCTGCTTTAAGGAGGTGTCTCTGTGCCAGGGCTCAGCAGTGCAGCAGGAGGGGAGCCGGCAGGAGGACTTGGCTCTGAAATCTCCTGGACTTTGTGCCTTTATGGCACTGGACAAGTCTTGCTTTCATCCTAAGAGTGTTCCCTTCACATCTATCTGACCCATTGACTTGAAGGGGAAGGACAGTCAGCAGAGGCTAGGCTGTTTTGTAGGGCCATGTACTTAGTAATATGCTGGTACCGCCTGACAACCCCCCCCAGCCCACCAAAGGAATATGATTAAAATAAACTGGATTATTTTAATAATGCAAACAACCTAAAATACACAATGAGGTAAAACATCATATATTCTTTTGTACGTGTTGGCAATAAGGATCAATTGACTTTAGCTGCAAAATGAACTAAAACAGGGAGACATACATGGGTCACCTGTCTGCCTGTAAGAGTAACAAGTAGGTGCTGGAGGGTGGAATGGAGACATGTTAACAACCAGCAATAACATACACACTTTTACACATCTCTGTGAAATAACTTATTTGTTTAATAGAAACATAGAGTATAAATCGCAATTAACTTAGTAATGCTAAACCTAACAAAGATCTGCCTAGAGAGAAAGAGCAATAGTTATCCCAATAATGCTGAAGCTGTATCTTCTCTTGATGTTACAGAGCTGTTGTGGGTTTTTGGGGGGTTTGGTGTTTTTTGTACCCCCCTCCCTCCTTCCTTTAGCAAGTGTGTGTCTGCAAGGGGTGGATTTGATCTGTTTTTTCAGTGCTGGGTTTGGGCAGTAGAAGGGCTTCAAGGAACTCCTTGGTCACAAAGTAGTAGCAGATGCTATCCAGGGAGCAGTTGGACGTGGCAATACACCTTGTCATGGAGGAGAAGTTCTTCATAACCTGGAGCAGGAAACAGGTAGCTCCGACGCTCTCCATTATGAACCTGGCAAGTACCCCAAGGTAGGCTGGAAGAAAACATATTAGAAATACAATCAGATTTGCATAAATAATGTGAACAGCTTTCTGGATTAATTTCTCCTCTGGTGAATTTGCATTCAGACATCTCTTAAGGTTTCTGATCACTTCTGTGGAGCAAAAAGTCAAGATTGCTAATGGAGGAGTAAAAATGAAGAAAATGGAAGGCAGGCTCAGAGTAGCAGGCGCGGTGGTATCCTTCTGAAAGCAGAGAGCGGCATGTCTCTGCCAAAGCTGTAAGGTGACACCAATTATCACAGAGACCCACAGAAGCCCACAGAGAAGGGCAGCCTTTGATGGATACCTGAAGGTCCTGGCTTTCAAGGGGTGCTTTATGGCAATGTATCGATCAATGGAGATAAATGAAATTATGTAGATGCTCACTACCGTGTTGGCAAAATACATTGCCTCTATAAACTGGCAGAGTTCATCTCGAGTTGACTTATTCCAGAGCAAATAAGCCATGGAAGGCAAGGTGCAGATGACGAAGCAGTCTGCAAAGACTAAATTGATTACATACACCCTGGTTTCTGTCCACTTCTTCATCTTGCAGAACACCCAAAGGGCAAGGGCATTAAATAGTGCTCCAAAAAAGAAAATGAGATTATACAGAACAAATTCAATGAGACGAACATGGTGATACGGTTCTAGATTTGTGACACTGCAGTTGTTGGACACCTTCATTGTCCTGATGTATAGATGTTGTATGATGTTCTGAGACCTGAAATGGGAAAAGACATGGTAAGACTTTCCTCCTACCTCTTAATAGATGTATGGCTCCTATAAAAAAAGGATATTTAAGTAAATATTTACTTTGTTATGAATGTGATTTTGAGTCTACAAAGCTGGCTTTCTCAGACAGCCTGTAACTGGGATGCATCCTTTGTCAAACTTTGTTTATGTTTACTCAGTTTATGAGTAAATATCTCAACGTACACTTCCAATAGGACATGGCGGACAGCCTTTACTAAATGGGGGGATCTTGAATGGGGGGGTGGAATAGCAGTTAGAAGAGCCCCCATAGATAGCAGGGGCATCCTGTGACAATGTGAACACTAATTCCTTAAGCCAGGCTGTGCAAATGAGGTAAAATTACACTTAGCTTGGTTTTGAGCTAGCCAGAGATTGCAGCAACCAAAGCTAAAGCCCAGCACAACCCACAAGCAAAAGCTCTTCTACCAGTTCTGTTGGCTTGGAAGACAGGGTGTGAAGGGCTGCAAGAGCATAGCAGATGTCACTTGGTAGACATCCCCATGCTCTGGCTCTAACTGGGCAGGTTTCTGAGCCTTCGGGCTGCCTTGTGAACCTGGAGCTCCTGCTCCAAGCTGAGGAAAACAGAGCTGAATCTGAGTTCCTGCATCCCAAGGGCATGCTTGAAACCCTAAGGGAGTGAGTAAGGCATGCTGCTCTCCACCTCCTTGGGAGGGGAATGACAGGGTGGAAGGATTAACCTGTTTTTAAGCCCATTCATTCCAGGAGAGAGTACGAGTCTGTAGATGTAAAGCAGAAAGACATACCTGAAAGAGGAAACACCAGTGCAAAACAAGGAACTTGCCATTAAGAGCTGCATTAGATGGTTCCTGCTCAAGGCAGGCATCCTGCCACCCTGAGAAATCCATGAGATGTTAGTAGGTACTGAGCCTCTGTCACACTGGCTACTAGATGTTTCGCAAGAGTATTGTTTGTGTGAAGAGTGTGAGTTCATGGGCTGATAAAAATCAGCTTTCATCAGGCCCCATCCTGTGCAAAGTGGCTCTATGTGACATGTACATGGAACAATTCTCTGAACTGGTGATTCTGTGTATATGTCACTGAATTTCTGCTTGCATCTAAATGCACTTTGGAAAGAATTTAACCTTTTAATTTAAAATAAGTTATTTAACACTCCAACAGGAGAGTAAAGTGGTGAGAGAGCTGGTGAAATCCTACAGCTTTCAGAGATGTAGAAAGGGACACCATGACTAAATGTGCCTGGTTAAGCAGTTATTATTTGCCTCTGCAAGCAATGCAGACCTTGTGGTCAGCTGGTGAAGGCACCGCCTGCAAAATCAGACTTCAGTTCTGAAGTAACTGGTAAACACACAAATGACTCAATTGCTGGGGGGATATGTAAGTGTCTTGGGCACTAGCAGACACTAATGTGACTCCTGCGTGGAGCTCTCTCCCAGTTCTTGTGTGCTTAGATCTGGGTTTCCCAACAGAGGCTTGCTGCTTGCTGCCTGCTCCTCGGGAGGAAGCTGACAGCTGTCACCCGATGAAAACCTGTCTGAACTACAGTAAGTAGCAGCAGGGAAACACCTTACATCAAGGGCTGAAGCTGCCACATCATTATGCTCACTAACTGCACGAGGCAGATG